AGAATATTCCTTTAAATTTAGTTTATCAAATAATTATTCCTAAATAAATAAAGCTTTCGAGTATTGTAATATTTTTTCAATTACAATTTTTATTAAAAATAATGCAGTCATATCAAAGTTGATTTTTATAATTCTACTTTGCTCAAGTATAGAATTAAATTCTAACATAGATTTGCAACCGTAGAAATCTTTTGTCTGCTAAAAATGTTTGTGAAAATGTTTTTTTCTCATTTACCAACTTTTCGCGTTATCCATTAATCATAAAATTCGATCTCATACAGACCTGTATCAAACTAGTTTTTAAAGTATATTTAGTGTATTTATGTAAAAACGTAAAATGTATGAGTTGCTTAACTTTCTTTAATTGTACTATATCAATTCTGTTACGTTTCGCTTATTCATAAATATAATTTTTTTAATTAATGCATGAGCTTTCTTGTATTTTTCTGTGTATATAGTGTCTCTGATGTTTGAATTTTGTAACCTTAAAATATCGATTTTCGATTATTTAATCCACGAGTTATTTAGCTTTCATTAGTTAGGTTAGTTACATTTTATATGAAATATATTTAAAACGTAATCAATATGCAACTGTCTTTTCATTGCACTGCATATTGTACGTAACAATCTCATCCCGATGAAAGAAACTGCCACCTTCTCGTTGGTTTATCCCATAATCACAATATGAGGGAAAAATAATTTATTAAACAGTTTTGTCTCAGATTTTCAATGGTTGTACTGATAAATCACCTTCAAACTTATCTTGACGTTAATGCAGAGCACAAAATTTTTTTACGTTTCATTAAAAATTAAAGTAGTAAATAAAAAAAATTTTAAAAAATTGGACGAAGTGCATTAAACCCAAGAACTTTGGGTTTGAAAGCAAAAGTTCTACCTCTAAACCAACGACTATACAAATCTGGTATAGGAGATTATGTGGAATTTGGTGAGGTGTCCCTGATGCATAAGCTTTTGATATGCATGTTGAGAAAAATTAATGTAAAACTTTTTTTAAAAGTTTCATAATCGATATTTTATTAATTAATTGTAGTTGAAACGTATTTTTCAGTGGTTTCGCATCAAAAATCGGTAATGTATAGGATACTTATAAACAGGCATTTTGTCGTGCTCCTCGAAAGGTAATAGTTATCGGCAACTATGGGTAAGTTACCTGGTTGCCTCCCGACACTAACGCCACTTGCTTTATGGGGGGCATAACTAAAATATAAAGAGAAAATGATGCGGACGCGAAAACGGCTGATCTGGCTTTCTATGCAAAAAGAATATATTCTATATTCTCTGGCTTGGGTACGCAAGTAAAAAGTTATACATCTACCCCTGAAAAATAGTTTTTTACGAACCTTAAATGTTAGGTAAGTTTGATGTATTAAGTTCATATTTTGTAAGGAATTTCTGAACCTTCATACACACTGGCAATAAATAGTATTCTTCCTAATGAATCTGTAGCCTTAACAAGTTCTGAAATCAAGATATAACAACGGTCAAGTTTTTTTTGCGCATCATACATTTTGTATGACACTGAGGTTTTCTCACAGTAAAAAATTATTCATCACGAAAATACGTATGAAAATCGTAAAAGTAGTATCTAAGATACTAAAAGAATTGTTTTTATTGAATCATTTACTATTTTACTAGTACTTAAAAAATTGATTATTAAAGTATGATTATTTACTGTCCAAATCGCTAAATCAAATAAGGCTTAGGTTTACAGCTTGTTATTTAGGGCACTCTGGAAAATTATAAGAGTTTCCAATCTAATCGATCAGATTATGTTGATACTGTTACAGCTGTGTTACACGATTCATTTTAAATTGCCAAAAAAAGTATACTAAAAAATAATAAAATTAGGGGGTTAGGATAAATAGGATATTG